AATAGAATGTAGGAAATATATTCATCTAGTGAACATAAGGGTTTGAAAGGTAACTAATCTCAAAAGAGTAGATTAATCTTAGGCGCCATGGCTAGGTTTTGAGGAAAACGAGAGTGACGAGAGGAAGGGGTCGAGAGAGTTTGACAAAAGAGGGTGATTCAATATTGAGCGAGGGTACAAATAGGAAAGAACAAACAAGAAAGGTGCACCACCAAACAGAAACTTCTATGACTACAGTATTCTACACTACAGGCAGTTACAAAACAATATATAGAGTTATATATTATTCTGACAACTAACGCACATGTGTAGAGAAAATGGTGCATCGGCCAGTCTGGCCGGCATTTCGCACTTATAGTGCAAGTAGGGCCAAGGAGAACAGAAACGCTCATTTCTCAAAAAGTAAAGGGAATCTAGCGGTCTCACTCGATCAACGGGTTAGAAATTTATAAATCTAGTGAGCTAATAAGGTTCGAAAGGAATCTAATGCATATGTATATGGAAAATGGTGCATTGGCCAGGTCGGTCAGTATGGGAACTTAGAGTGCAAATGCCTGGGAGAACGGAACCGCTCAGATCTCGCATAGTACACGGAATCTAGTGGTCTCACTCGAATAGAATGTAGGAAATATATTCATCTAGTGAACGTAAGGGTTTGAAAGGTAACTAATGCACATGTGTAGAGAAAATGGTGCATCGGCCAGTCTGGCCGGCATTTCGCACTTAAAGTGCAAGTAGGGCCAAGGAGAACGGAAACGCTCATTTCTCAAAACGTTCAAGGAATCTAGCGGTCTCACTCGATCAGAAGGTGCGAAATATATAAATCTAGTAAGCTAATAAGGTTTGAAAGGAATCTAATACATATGTATATGGAAAATAGTGCATTGGCCAGGTCAGTCAGTCTGGGAACTTAGAGTGGAAATGCCAGGGAGAACGGAAGCGCTCAGATCTCGCATAGTACACGGAATCTAGTGGTCTCACTCAAATAGAAGGTAGGAAATATATTCATCTAGTGGACGTAAGGGTTTGAAAGGTAACTAACACACATGTGTAGAGAAAATGGTGCATCAGCCACTCTGGCCGGCATTTCGCACTTATAGTGCAAGTAGGGCCAAGGAGAACGGAAACGCTCATTTCTCAAAAAGTAAAGGGAATCTAGCGGTCTCACTCGATCAGAAGGTGGGAAATATATAAATATAGTCAGCTAATAAGGTTTGAAAGGAATCTAATACATATGTATATGGAAAATAGTGCATTGGCCAGGTCAGTCAGTCTGGGAACTTAGAGTGGAAATGCCAGGGAGAACGGAAGCACTCAGATCTTGCATAGTACACGGAATCTAGTGGTCTCACTCAAATAGAAGGTAGGAAATATATTCATCTAGTGAACGTAAGGGTTTGAAAGGTAACTAACGCACATGTGTAGAGAAAATGGTGCATCGGCCAATCTGGCCGGCATTTCGCACTTATAGTGCAAGTAGGGCCAGGGAGAACGGAAACGCTCGTTTCTCAAAAAGTAAAGGAAATCTAGCGGTCTCACTCGATCAGAATATGGGAAATATATAAATCTAGTGAGCTAATAAGGTTTGAAAGGTATCTAGCGCACATACATGTATACATGTATAGGGAAAATGGTCCATTGGCCAGGTCGGTCAGTATGGGAACTTAAAATGCAAATGCCTAGGAGAACGGAACCGCTCAGATCTCGCGTAGTACACGGAATCTAGTGGTCTCACTCTAATAGAAGGTAGGAAATATATTCATTTAGTGAACGTAAGGGTTTGAAAGGTAACTAACGCACATGTGTAGAGAAAATGGTGCATCGGCCAGTCTGGCCGGCATTTCGCACTTATAGTGCGAGTAGGTGTCAAAGTTTGAAGAAAGAAAGAGGATTGAACTAGCAAGAATAAGGATACAAATAGCAAACCCTAGAAGGGTTGTACTCGCTATAGAGCACCCCACTACAGGCTAGAACAATAAGATAATATTCTGACAGTAGGGCCAAGGAGAACGGAAACGCTCATTTCTGAAAAAATAAAGGGAATCTAGCGGTCTCACTCGATCAGAAGGTGGGAAATATATAAATCTAGTCAGCTTATAAGGTTTGAAAGGTATCTAACGCATATACATGTATACAAGTATAGGGAAAATGGTCCATTGGCCAGGTCGGTCAGTATGGGAACTTAAAATGCAAATGCCTGGGAGAACGGAACCGCTCAGATCTCGCATAGTACACGGAATCTAGTGGTCTCACTCAAATAGAAGGTAGGAAATATATTCATCTACTGAAGGTAACTAACGCACATGTGTAGAGAAAATGGTGCATCGGCAAGTCTGGCCGTCATTTCGCACTTATAGTGCAAGTAGGGCCAAGGAGAACAGAAACGCTCATTTCTCAAAAAGTAAAGGGAATCTAGCGGTCTCACTCGATCAGAAGGTGAGAATTATATAAATCTAGTGAGCTAATAAGGTTCAAAAGGAATCTAATGCATATGTATATGGAAAATGGTGCATTGGACAGGTCGGTCAGTATGGGAACTTAAAATGCAAATGCCTGGGAGAACGGAACCGCTCAGATCTCGCATAGTACACGGAATCTAGTGGTCTCACTCAAATATAAGGTAGAAAATATATATATCGAGTGAACGTAAGGGTTTGCAAGGTAACTAACGCATATGTGTAGAGAAAATGGTGCATCGGCCTGTCTGGCCGGCATTTCGCACTTATAGTGCAAGTGGGGCCAGGGAGAACGGAAACGCTCGTCTTTCAAAAAATAGAGGGAATCTAGCGATCTCACTCGATCAGAAGGTGGGAAATATATAAATCTTGTCAGCTAAAATGGTTTGAAAGGTATCTAACGCACATGTATAGAGAAAATGCTGCATTAGCTAGGTCGGTCAGTATGGGAACTTAAAATGCAAATGCCACGGAGAACGGAAGCGCTCAGATCTCGCATAGTACACGGAATCAAGTGGTCTCACTCAAATAGAAAGTAGGAAATATATTCATCCAGTGAACGTAAGGGTTTGAAAGGTAACTAAAGCACATGTGTAGAGAAAGTGGTGCATCGGCCAATCTTGCCGGCATTTCGCACTTATAGTGCAAGTAGGGCCACGGAGAACGGAAACGAGGCAAGCTTTTGGACCAGGCAGGCTCGTCGACCAGGCAAGCTCCTAGAGTTGGCAAGCTCCTAGACCAGGCATGCTCCTGGACCAGGCAAGCTCCTGGACCAGGCACGCTCGTGGAGCAGGCACGCTCTTGGACAAGACATGCTCCTGGACCAGGCAAGCTCGTGGACCAGGCACGCTTCTGGACCAGGCAAGCTCCTTGACCAGGAACGCTCCTAGACCAAGCAAGCTCGTGGACCAGGCACACTCCCGGACCAGGCAAGCTCGTGGACCAAGCAAGCTCCTGGACCACGCAAGCTCTTAAACCAGGCATGCTCCTAGACCAGGCAAGCTCTTGGACCAGGCAGGCTTCTAGACAAAGCAAGCTCCTGGACCTCGCAAGCTCTTGTTTCACGCAAGCTTTTGGACCAGGCAAGCCCTTGGACCAGGCAATCTCTTGGACCAGGCAAGCTCCTGGACCAGGGAAGCTCCTAGACCAAGCAAGCTCGTGGACCGGGCCCGCTCCTGTACCAGGCAAGCTCCTACACCAAGCAAGCTCCTGGACCACGCAAGCTCTTGGACCTTGCAAGTTCCTGGACTTGGCAAGCTCCTGGACCAGGCACGCTCCTAGACTAGGCAAGCTCCTAGACTAGGCAAGCTTCTCGACCAGGCAAGCTCCTGGACCAGGCAAACTTGTGGACCAAGCACGCTCTAGGACCAGGCAAGCTCCTGGACAAGGCAAGCTCCTGGACCAGGAACGCTCCTGGAAGAGGAAAGCTCCTGGACGAGGCAAGCTCCTGGACCAGGCAAGCTCCTGGACCAGGCAAGCTCCTGGACAAGGCAAGCTCCTGGACCAGGCACCCTCGTGGACCAGGCAAGATCCTAGACCAGGGAAGCTCCTGGACCAGGCAAGCTCCTGGACTAGGCAAGCTTCTGGACCAGGCATGCTCCAGGACCAAACAAGCTCATGGACCAGGCAAACTCCTGGACCACGCAAGCTCTTGGACCAGGCACACTACTGGACCAGGCAAGCTCTTGGACCAGGTAGGCTTCTGGACCAGGCAAGCTCCTAGACTAGGCAAGCTCCTGTACAAGGCAAGCTTCTGGACCAGGCAAACTCGTGGACTAGGCACGCTCCTGGACCAAGCAAGATCCTGGACCAAGCAAGCTCATGGACCAGGCAAGCTCATGGACCACGCAAGCTCCTGGACCAGGCAAGCTCCTGGACCAAGCAAGCTCCTGGACCAGGAAAACTCGTGGACCAGGCACGCTCGTGGACCGGGCAAGCTCCTATACCAGGCAAGCTCCTAGACCAGGCAAGTTCCTTGACCAGGCAAGCTCCTGGATCAGGCAAGCTCCTGGACGAGGCAAGCTCCTAGACCAGGCAAGCTCCTGGACCAGGCAATCTCCTGGACCAGGCAAGCTCTTGGACCAGGCAAACTAGTGGACCAGGCACTCTCCTGGACAAGGCAAGCTCCTGGACCTGGCAAGATCCTAGACCAGGCAAGGTCCTGGACCAGGCAAGCTTCTGGACCACGCAAAGTCGTGGACCAGGCATACTCCTGGACAAAGCAAACTCTTGGTCCAGGCAAGCTCCTGGACCAGGCAAGCTCTTGGACCAGGCACGCTCTTGGATCGCGCAAGCTCTTGGACCAGGCAAGCTGTTGGACCAGGCAAGTTCCTGGACCAGGCAAGCTCCTTGACTAGGCAAGCTCGTGGACCAGGCACGCTCCTGGACCAGGCGAGCTCCTGGACCACGCAAGCTCCTGGACCACGCAAGCTCCTGGACCAGGCAAGCTCCGTGACCACGCAAGCTGCTAGACCAGGCTAGGTACTAGAAGAGCTTGCCTCGTCCAGAAGTTTGCCTGGTCCAGGAGCTTGCCTGGTCCAGTAGCTAGCTTGGTCCTGCAGCCTGCCTGGTCCAAGAGCTTGCCTGGTCCACGAACGTGCCCGGTCCAAGAGCTTGTGTGATCCAGGAGCTTGCCTGGTCCTGGAGCTTGCATTTTCTAGGAGCTTGATGGAAAGCGGGAGAATGGGGCGGGGTGATGGAAAGCGGGAGAATGGGGCGGGGTGATGGAAAGTGGGAGAATGGGGCGGGGTGATGGAAAGCGGGAGAATAGGGCGGGGAAATGGAAAGTGGGAGAATGGGGCGGGGTGATGGAAAGCGGGAGAACGGGGCGGGGTGATGGAAGGAGGGAGAATGGGGCGGGGTGATGGAAGGAAGGAGAGCGGGGTGATGGGAAGGAAAATGGGGCGGGGTGATGGAAGGAGGGAGAATGGGTCGGGGTGATGGAAAGCGGGAGAATGGGGCGGGGTGATGGAAAGCGGGAGAATGGGGCGGTGTGATGGAAAGCGGGAGAATGGGGCGGGGTGATGGAAGGAGGGAGAATGGGGCGGGGTGATGGAAAGCGGGAGAATAGAGATGGGTGATGTTTGCGGGAGAATGGTGCGGGGTGATGGAAAGTGGGAGAATGGGGCGGGGTGATGGAAGGAGGGAGAATGGGGCGGGGTGATGGAAAGCGGGAGAATGGGGCGGTGTGATGGATAGCGGGAGAATGGGGCGGGGTGATAGGAAGAATGGGGCTGGGTGATGGAAAGCGGGAGAATGGGGCGGGGTGATGGAAAGCAGGAGAATGGGGCGGGGTGATGGAAAGCGGGAGAATGGGGCCGGGTGATGGAAAGCGGGAGAATGGGGTGGGCCGATGGAAAGCGGGAGAATGGGGCGGGGTGATGGAAGGAGGGAGAATGGGGCGGGGTGATGGAAGGAGGGAGAATGGGGCGGGTGATGAAAGGAGGGAGAACGGGGCGGGGTTATGGAAAGCAGGAGAATGGGGCGGGGTGATGGAAAGCGGGAGAATGGGGCGGGGTGATGGAAGGAGGGAGAATGGGGCGGGGTGATGGAAAGCGGGAGATTGGGGCAGGGTGATGGAAAGCGGGAGAATGGAACGGGGTGATGGAATGCGGGAGATTGGGGCAGGGTGATGGAAAGCGGGAGAATGGGGCGGGGTGATGGAAAGCGGGAAAATGGGGCGGGGTGATGGAAAGCGGGAGAATGGGGCTGGGTGATGGAAAGCAGGAGAATGGGGCGGGGAGATGGAAAGCGGGAGAATGGGGCGGGGTGATGGAAGGAGGGAGAATGAGGCGGGGTGATGGAAGGAGGGAGAATGGGGCGGGGTGATGGAAAGCGGGAGAATGGGGCGGGGTGATGGAAAGCGGGAGAATGGGGCGGGGTGTTGGAAAGCGGGAGAATGGGGCGAGGTGATGGAAAGCGGGAGAATGAGGCGGGTGATGGAAAGCGGGAGAATGGGGCTGGGTGATGGAAGGAGGGAGAATGGGGAGGGGTGATGGAAATCGGGGGAATGGGGCGGGATGATGGGAAGCGGGAGAATGGGGCGGGGTGATGGAAAGCGGGAGAATGGGGCGGGGTGATGGAAAGGGGGAGAATGGGGCGGGGTGATGGAAAGCGGGAGAATGGGGCGGGGTGATGGAAAGTGGGAGAATGGGGCGGGGTGATGGAAAGCAGGAGAATAGGGCGGGGAAATGGAAAGTGGGAGAATGGGGCGGGGTGATGGAAAGCGGGAGAACGGGGCGGGGTGATGGAAGGAGGGAGAATGGGGCGGGGTGATGGAAGGAAGGAGGGCGGGGTGATGGGAAGGAGAATGGGGCGGGGTGATGGAAGGAGGGAGAATGGGTCGGGGTGATGGAAAGCGGGAGAATGGGGCGGGGTGATGGAAAGCGGGAGAATGGGGCGGGTGATGGAAAGCAGGAGAATGGGGCGGGGTGATGGAAGGAGGGAGAATGGGGCGGGGTGATGGAAAGCGGGAGAATCGAGAAGGGTGATGTTAGCGGGAGAATGGGGCGGGGTGATGGAAAGTGGGAGAATGGGGCGGGGTGATGGAAGGAGGGAGAATGGGGCGGGGTGATGGAAAGCGGGAGAATGGGGCGGTGTGATGGAAAGCGGGAGAATGGGGCGGTGTGATGGAAAGCGGGAGAATGGGGCAGGGTGATGGAAAGCGGGAGAATGGGGCGGGGTGATGGAAAGCGGGAGAATGGGGCGGGGTGATGGAAAGCGGGAGAATGGGGCGGGGTGATGGAAAGCGGGAGATTGGGGCAGGGTGATGGAAAGCGGGAGAATGGGGCGGGGTGATGGAATGCGGGAGATTGGGGCAGGGTGATGGAAAGCGGGAGAATGGGGCGGGGTGATGGAAAGCGGGAAAATGGGGCGGGGTGATGGAAAGCGGGAGAATGGGGCTGGGTGATGGAAAGCAGGAGAATGGGGCGGGGAGATGGAAAGCGGGAGAATGGGGCGCGGTGATGGAAGGAGGGAGAATGAGGCGGGGTGATGGAAGGAGGGAGAATGGGGCGGGGTGATGGAAAGCGGGAGAATGGGGCGGGGTGATGGAAAGCGGGAGAATGGGGCGGAGTGATGGAAAGCGGGAGAATTGGGCGGGGTGATGGAAAACGGGAGAATGGGGCGGGGTGATGGAAAGCGGGAGAATAGGGCGGGGTGTTGGAAAGCGGGAGAATGGGGCGAGGTGATGGAAAGCGGGAGAATGGGGCGGGTGATGGAAAGCGGGAGAATGGGGTTGGGTCATGGAAGGAGGGAGAATGGGGAGGGGTGATGGAAAGCGGGGGAATGGGGCGGGATGATGGGAAGCGGGAGAATGGGGCGGGGTGATGGAAAGCGGGAGAATGGGGCGGGGTGATGGAAAGGGGGAGAATGGGGCGGGGTGATGGAAAGCGGGAGAATGGGGCGGGGTGATGGAAAGTGGGAGAATGGGGCGGGGTGATGGAAAGCAGGAGAATAGGGCGGGGAAATGGAAAGTGGGAGAATGGGGCGGGGTGATGGAAAGCGGGAGAACAGGGCGGGGTGATGGAAGGAGGGAGAATGGGGCGGGGTGATGGAAGGAAGGAGGGCGGGGTGATGGGAAGGAGAATGGGGCGGGGTGATGGAAGGAGGGAGAATGGGTCGGGGTGATGGAAAGCGGGAGAATGGGGCGGGGTGATGGAAAGCGGGAGAATGGGGCGGGGTGATGGAAAGCGGGAAAATGGGGCAGGGTGATGGAAAGCGGGAGAATGGGGCTGGGTGATGGAAAGCAGGAGAATGGGGCGGGGTGATGGAAAGCGGGAGAATTGGGCGGGGTGATGGAAGGAGGGAGTATGAGGCGGGGTGATGGAAGGAGGGAGAATGGGGCGGGGTGATGGAAAGCGGGAGAATGGGGCGGGGTGATGGAAAGCGGGAGAATGGGGCAGGGTGATGGAAAGCGGGAGAATGGGGCGGGGTGATGGAAAGCGGGAGAATGGGGCGGGGTGTTGGAAAGCAGGAGAATGGGGCGGGGTGATGAAAAGCGGGAGGATGGGTCGGGGTGATGGAAAGCGGGAGAATGGGGCGGGTGATGGAATGCGGGTGAATGGGGCGGGGTGATGGAAAGCGGGAGAATGGGGCGGGGTGATGGAAAGGAGAAGAATGGGGCGGGGTGATGGAAAGCAGGAGAATGAGGCGAGGTGATGGAAAGCGGGAGAATGGGGCGAGTGATGGAAAGCGGGAGAATGGGGCGGGGTGATGGAAGGAGGGAGAATGGGGAGGGATGATGGAAAGCGGGGGAATGGGGCGGGATGATGGGAAGCGGGAGAATGGGGCGGGGTGATGGAAAGCGGGAGAACGGGGCGGGGTGATGGAAAGGGGGAGAATGGGGCGGGGTGATGGAAAGCGGGAGAATGGGGCGGGGTGATGGAAAGTGGGAGAATGGGGCGGGGTGATGGAAAGCAGGAGAATAGGGCGGGGAAATGGAAAGTGGGAGAATGGGGCGGGGTGATGGAAAGCGGGAGAACGGGGCGGGGTGATGGAAGGAGGGAGAATGGGGCGGGGTGATGGAAGGAAGGAGGGCGGGGTGATGGGAAGGAGAATGGGGCGGGGTGATGGAAGGAGGGAGAATGGGTCGGGGTGATGGAAAGCGGGAGAATGGGGCGGGGTGATGGAAAGCGGGAGAATGGGGCGGGGTGATGGAAAGCGGGAAAATGGGGCGGGGTGATGGAAAGCGGGAGAATGGGGCTGGGTGATGGAAAGCAGGAGAATGGGGCGGGGTGATGGAAAGCGGGAGAATTGGGCGGGGTGATGGAAGGAGGGAGTATGAGGCGGGGTGATGGAAGGAGGGAGAATGGGGCGGGGTGATGGAAAGCGGGAGAATGGGGCAGGGTGATGGAAAGCGGGAGAATGGGGCGGGGTGATGGAAAGCGGGAGAATGGGGCGGGGTGTTGGAAAGCAGGAGAATGGGGCGGGGTGATGAAAAGCGGGAGGATGGGTCGGGGTGATGGAAAGCGGGAGAATGGGGCGGGTGATGGAATGCGGGTGAATGGGGCGGGGTGATGGAAAGCGGGAGAATGGGGCGGGGTGATGGAAAGCAGAAGAATGGGGCGAGGTGATGGAAAGCAGGAGAATGAGGCGAGGTGATGGAAAGCGGGAGAATGGGGCGAGTGATGGAAAGCGGGAGAATGGGGCGGGGTGATGGAAGGAGGGAGAATGGGGAGGGGTGATGGAAAGCGGGGGAATGGGGCGGGATGATGGGAAGCGGGAGAATGGGGCGGGGTGATGGAAAGCGGGAGAACGGGGCGGGGTGATGGAAAGCGGGAGAATGGGGCGGGGTGATGGAGGGAGGTAGAATGAGGCGGGGTGATGGAAGGAGGGAGAATGGGGCAGGGTGATGGAAAGCGAGAGAATGGGGCGGGGTGATGGAAAGCGGGAGAATGGGGCGGGCTGATGGAAAGTGGGAGAATGGGGCGGGGTGATCAAAGGAGGGAGAATGGGGCGGGGTGATGGTAGGGGGGAGAATGCGGCGGGGTGATGGAAAGTGGGAGAATGTGGCGGGGTGATGGAAAGCTGGAGAATGGGGCTGGGTGGTGGAAAGCGGGAGAATGGGGCGGGGTGATGGAAAGCGGGAGAATGGGGCGGGGTGATGGAAAGCGGGAGAATGGGGTAGGGTGATGGAAGGAGAGAGATTGGGGCGGGGTGATGGAAAGCGGAAAAATGGGGCGGGGTGATGGAAAGCGGGAGAATGGGGCGGGGTGATGGAAAGCGGGAGAATGGGGCGGGGTGATGGAAAGCGGGAGAATGGGGCGGGGTGATGGAAGGAGGTAGAAGGAGGCGGGGTGATGGAAGGAGGGAGAATGGGGCAGGGTGATGGAAAGCGAGAGAATGGGGCGGGGTGATGGAAAGCGGGAGAATGGGGCGTAGTGATGGAAAGCGGGAGAACGGGGCGGGGTGATGGAAAGCGGGAGAATGGGGCGTGGTGATGGAAAGCGGGAGAATGGGGCGGGGTGATGGAAAGCGGGAGAATGGGGCGGGGTGATAGAAAACGGGAGAATGGGGCGGGGTGATGGAAAGCGGGAGCATGGGGCGGGGTGATGGAAGGAGGTAGATTGAGGCGGGTTGATGGAAGGAGGGAGAATGGGGCGGGGTGATGGAAAGCGGGAGATGGGGCGGGGTGATGGAAAGCGGGAGAATGGGGCGGGGTGATGGAAAGCGGGAGAATGGGGCGGGGTGATGGAAAGCGGGAGAATGGGGCGGGGTGATGGAAAGTGGAAAAATGGGGCGGGGTGATGGAAAGCGGGAGAATGGGGCGGGGTGATGGAAAGCGGGAGAATGGGGCGGGGTGATGGAAAGCGGGAGAATGGGGCGGGGTGATGGAAAGCGGAAGAATGGGGCGGGGTGATGGAAAGCGGGAGAATGGGGAGGGGTGATTGAAAGCGGGAGAATGGGGCGGGGTGATGGAAAGCGGGAGAATGGGGTGGGGTGATGGAAAGCGGGAGAATGGGGCGGGGTGATGGAAGGAGGGAGAATAGTGCGGGGTTATGGAAAGCGGGATAATGGGGCGGGGTGATGGAAAGCGGGAGAATGGGGCGGGGTGATGGAAGGAGGGAGAATGGGGCGGGGTGATGGAAAGCAGGAGATTGGGGCGGGGTGATGGAAGGAGGGAGAATGGGGCGGGTGATGGAAGGAGGGAGAATGGGCCGGGGTTATGGAAAGCGGGAGAATGGGGCGGGGTGATGGAAAGCGGGAGAATGGAGCTAGTGATGGAAAGTGAGAGAATTGGGCGGGGTGATGGAAAGCGGGAGAATGGGGCGGGGTGATGGAAAGCGGGAGAATGGGGCGGGGTGTTGGAAAGCGGGAGAATGGGGCGAGGTGATGGAAAGCGGGAGAATGGGGCGGGTGATGGAAAGCGGGAGAATGGGGCAGGGTGATGGAAGGAGGGAGAATGGGGAGGGGTGATGGAAAGCGGGGGAATGGGGCGGGATGATGGGAAGCGGGAGAATGGGGCGGGGTGATGGAAAGCGGGAGAATGGGGCGGAGTGATGGAAAGCGGGAGAATGGGGCAGGGTGATGGAAAGCGGGAGAATGGGGCGGGGTGATGGAAAGCGGGAGAATGGGGCGGGGTGTTGGAAAGCGGGAGAATGGGGCGGGGTGATGAAAAGCGGGAGGATGGGTCGGGGTGATGGAAAGCCGGAGAACGGGGCGGGGTGATGGAAAGCGGGAGAATGGGGCGGGTGATGGAATGCGGGTGAATGGGGCGGGGTGATGGAAAGCGGGAGAATGGGGCGGGGTGATGGAAAGCAGAAGAATGGGGCGGGGTGATGGAAAGCAGGAGAATGGGGCGGGGTGATGGGAAGGAGAATGGGGCGGGGTGATGGAAGGAGGGAGAATGGGTCGGGGTGATGGAAAGCGGGAGAATGGGGCGGGGTGATGGAAAGCGGGAGAATGGGGCGGGGTGATGGAAAGCGGGAGAATGGGGCGGGGTGATGGAAGGAGGGAGAATGGGGCGGGGTGATGGAAAGCGGGAGAATCGAGAAGGGTGATGTTAGCGGGAGAATGGGGCGGGGTGATGGAAAGTGGGAGAATGGGGCGGGGTGATGGAAGGAGGGAGAATGGGGCGGGGTGATGGAAAGCGGGAGAATGGGGCGGTGTGATGGAAAGCGGGAGAATGGGGCGGTGTGGTGGAAAGCGGGAGAATGGGGCAGGGTGATGGAAAGCGGGAGAATGGGGCGGGGTGATGGAAAGCGGGAGAATGGGGCGGGGTGATGGAAAGCGGGAGAATGGGGCGGGGTGATGGAAAGCGGGAGAATGGGGTGGGCCGGTGGAAAGCGGGAGAATGGGGCGGGGTGATGGAAGGAGGGAGAATGGGGCGGGGTGATGGAAGGAGGGAGAATGGGGCGGGTGATGAAAGGAGGGAGAATGGGGCGGGGTTATGGAAAGCGGGAGAATGGGGCGGGGTGATGGAAAGCGGGAGAATGGGGCGGGGTGATGGAAGGAGGGAGAATGGGGCGGGGTGATGGGAAGCGGGAGATTGGGGCAGGGTGATGGAAAGCGGGAGAATGGGGCGGGGTGATGGAAAGCGGGAAAATGGGGCGGGGTGATGGAAAGCGGGAGAATGGGGCTGGGTGATGGAAAGCAGGAGAATGGGGCGGGGTGATGGAAAGCGGGAGAATGGGGCGGGGTGATGGAAGGAGGGAGTATGAGGCGGGGTGATGGAAGGAGGGAGAATGGGGCGGGGTGATGGAAAGCGGGAGAATGGGGCGGGGTGATGGAAAGCGGGAGAATGGGGCGGAGTGATGGAAAGCGGGAGAATGGGGCGGGGTGATGGAAAGCGGGAGAATGGGGCGGGGTGATGGAAAGCGGGAGAATGGGGCGGGGTGTTGGAAAGCGGGAGAATGGGGCGGGGTGATGAAAAGCGGGAGGATGGGTCGGGGTGATGGAAAGCCGGAGAACGGGGCGGGGTGATGGAAAGCGGGAGAATGGGGCGGGTGATGGAATGCGGGTGAATGGGGCGGGGTGATGGAAAGCGGGAGAATGGGGCGGGGTGATGGAAAGCAGAAGAATGGGGCGGGGTGATGGAAAGCAGGAGAATGGGGCGAGGTGATGGAAAGCGGGAGAATGGGACGAGTGATGGAAAGCGGGAGAATGGGGCGGGTGATGGAAGGAGGGAGAATGGGGAGGGGTGATGGAAAGCGGGGGAATGGGGCGGGATGATGGGAAGCGGGAGAATGGGGCGGGGTGATGGAAAGCGGGAGAATGGGGCGGGGTGATGGAAAGCGGGAGAATGGGGCGGGGTGATGGAAGGAGGTAGAATGAGGCGGGGTGATGGAAGGAGGGAGAATGGGGCAGAGTGAGGGAAAGCGAGAGAATGGGGCGGGGTGATGGAAAGCGGGAGAATGGGGCGGGCTGATGGAAAGTGGGAGAATGGGGCGGGGTGATCAAAGGAGGGTGAATGGGGCGGGGTTATGGAAGGAGGTAGAATGCGGCGGGGTGATGGAAGGAGGGACAATGGGGCGGGGTGATGGAAAGTGGGAGAATGTGGCGGGGTGATGGAAAGCTGGAGAATGGGGCTGGGTGGTGGAAAGCGGGAGAATGGGGCGGGGTGATGGAAAGCGGGAGAATGGGGCGGGGTGATGGAAAGCGGGAGAATGGGGCAGGGTGATGGAAGGAGAGAGAATGGGGCGGGGTGATGGAAAGCGGAAAAATGGGGCGGGGTGATGGAAAGCGGGAGAATGGGGCGGGGTGATGGAAAGCGGGAGAATGGGGCGGGGTGATGGAAAGCGGGAGAATGGGGCGGGGTGATGGAAGGAGGTAGAATGAGGCAGGGTGATGGAAGGAGGGAGAATGGGGCAGGGTGATGGAAAGCGAGAGAATGGGGCGGGGTGATGGAAAGCGGGAGAATTGGGCGTAGTGATGGAAAGCGGGAGAATGGGGCGGGGTGATGGAAAGCGGGAGAATGGGGCGTGGTGATGGAAAGCGGGAGAATGGGGCGGGTGATGGAAAGCGGGAGAATGGGGCGGGGTGATGGAAGGAGGGAGAATGGGGCGGGGTGATGGAAAGCGGGAGAATCGAGAAGGGTGATGTTAGCGGGAGAATGGGGCGGGGTGATGGAAAGTGGGAGAATGGGGCGGGGTGATGGAAAGCGGCAGAATGGGGCGGGGTGATAGAAAACGGGAGAATGGGGCGGGGTGATGGAAAGCGGGAGCATGGGGCGGGGTGATGGAAGGAGGTAGATTGAGGCGGGGTTATGGAAGGAGGGAGAATGGGGCGGGGTGATGGAAAGCGGGAGAATGGGGCGGGGTGATGGAAAGCGGGAGAATGGGGCGGGGTGATGGAAAGCGGGAGAATGGGGCGGGGTGATGGAAAGCGGGAGAATGGGGCGGGTGATGGAAAGCGGGAGAATGGGGCGGGGTGATGGAAGGAGGGAGAATGGGGCGGGGTGATGGAAAGCGGGAGAATCGAGAAGGGTGATGTTAGCGGGAGAATGGGGCGGGGTGATGGAAAGTGGGAGAATGGGGCGGGGTGATGGAAGGAGGGAGAATGGGGCAGGGTGATGGAAAGCGGGAGAATGGGGCGGTGTGATGGAAAGCGGGAGAATGGGGCGGTGTGATGGAAAGCGGGAGAATGGGGCAGGGTGATGGAAAGCGGGAGAATGGGGCGGGGTGATGGAAAGCGGGAGAATGGGGCGGGGTGATGGAAAGCGGGAGAATGGGGCATGGTGATGGAAAGCGGGAGAATGGGGTGGGCCGATGGAAAGCGGGAGAATGGGGCGGGGTGATGGAAGGAGGGAGAATGGGGCGGGGTGATGGAAGGAGGGAAAATGGGGCGGGTGATGAAAGGAGGGAGAATGGGGCGGGGTTATGGAAAGCGGGAGAATGGGGCGGGGTGATGGAAAGCGGGAGAATGGGGCGGGGTGATGGAAGGAGGGAGAATGGGGCGGGGTGATGGAAAGCGGGAGATTGGGGCAGGGTGATGGAAAGCGGGAGAATGGGGCGGGGTGATGGAAAGCGGGAAAATGGGGCGCGGTGATGGAAAGCGGGAGAATGGGGCTGGGTGATGGAAAGCAAGAGAATGGGGCGGGGTGATGGAAAGCGGGAGAATGGGGCGAGGTGATGGAAGGAGGGAGAATTAGGCGGGGTGATGGAAGGAGGGAGAATGGGGCGGGGTGATGGAAAGCGGGAGAATGGGGCGGGGTGATGGAAAGCGGGAGAATGGGGCGGAGTGATGGAAAGCGGGAGAATGGGGCGGGGTGATGGAAAGCGGGAGAATGGGGCGGGGTGTTGGAAAGCGGGAGAATGGGGCGGGGTGATGAAAAGCGGGAGGATGGGTCGGGGTGATGGAAAGCCGGAGAACGGGGCGGGGTGATGGAAAGCGGGAGAATGGGGCGGGTGATGGAATGCGGGTGAATGGGGCGGGGTGATGGAAAGCGGGAGAATGGGGCGGGGTGATGGAAAGCAGGAGAATGGGGCGATGTGATGGAAAGCGGGAGAATGGGGCGAGTGATGGAAAGCGGGAGAATGGGGCGGGGTGATGGAAGGAGGGAGAATGGGGAGGGGTGATGGAAAGCGGGGGAATGGGGCGGGATGATGGGAAGCGGGAGAATGGGGCGGGGTGATGGAAAGCGGGAGAATGGGGCAGGGTGATGGAAAGCGGGAGAATGGGGCGGGGTGATGGAAGGAGGTAGAATGAGGCGGGGTGATGGAAGGAGGGAGAATGGGGCAGGGTGATGGAAAGCGAGAGAATGGGGCGGGGTGATGGAAAGCGGGAGAATGGGGCGGGCTGATGAAAAGTGGGAGAATGGGGCGGGGTGATCAAAGGAGGGAGAATGGGGCGGGGTGATGGAAGGAGGGAGAATGCGGCGGGGTGATGGAAGGAGGGACAATGAGGCGGGGTGATGGAAAGTGGGAGAATGTGGCGGGGTGATGGAAAGCTGGAGAATGGGGCTGGGTGGTGGAGAGCGGGAGAATGGGGCGGGGTGATGGAAAGCGGGAGAATGGGGCGGGGTGATGGAAAGCGAGAGAAAGGGGCAGGGTGATGGAAGGAGAGAGAATGGGGCGGGGTGATGGAAAGCGGAAAAATGGGGCGGGGTGATGGAAAGCGGGAGAATGGGGCGGGGTGATGGAAAGCGGGAGAATGGGGCGTTGTGATGGAAAGCGGGAGAATGGGGCGGGGTGATGGAAGGAGGTAGAATGAGGCGGGGTGATGGAAGGAGGGAGAATGGGGCAGGGTGATGGAAAGCGAGAGAATGGGGCGGGGTGATGGAAAGCGGGAGAATGGGGCGTAGTGATGGAAAGCGGGAGAATGGGGCGGGGTGATGGAAAGCGGGAGAATGGGGCGTGGTGATGGAAAGCGGGAGAATGGGGCGGGGTGATGGAAAGCGGGAGAATGGGGCGGGGTGATGGGAGAATGGGGCGGGGTGATGGAAAGCGGGAGAATGGGGCGGGGTGATAGAAAACGGGAGAATGGGGCGGGGTGATGGAAAGCGGGAGCATGGGGCGGGGTGATGGAAGGAGGTAGATTGAGGCGGGGTGATGGAAGGAGGGAGAATGGGGCGGGGTGATGGAAAGCGGGAGAATGGGGCGGGGTGATGGAAAGCGGGAGAATGGGGCGGGGTGATGGAAAGCGGGAGAATGGGGCGGGGTGATGGAAAGCGGGAGAAAAGGGCGGGGTGATGGAAAGCGGGAGAATGGGACGGGGTGATGGAAAGCGGGAGAATGGTGCGGGGTGATGGAAAGCGGGAGAATGGGGAGGGGTGATGGAAAGCGGGAGAATGGGGCGGGGTGATGGAAAGCGGGAGAATGGGGTGGGGTGATGGAAAGCGGGAGAATGGGGCGGGGTGATGGAAGGAGGGAGAATGGTGCGGGGTTATGGAAAGCGGGAGAATGGGGCGGGGTGATGGAAAGCGGGAGAATGGGGCGGGGTGATAGAAGGAGGGAGAATGGGGCGGGGTGATGGAAAGCGGGAGATTGGGGCAGGGTGATGGAAAGCGTGAGAATGGGGCGGGGTGATGGAAGGAGGGAGAATGGGGCGGGTGATGGAAGGAGGGAGAATGGGCCGGGGTTATGGAAAGCGGAAGAATGGGGCGGGGTGATGGAAAGCGGGAGAATGGGGCGGGGTGATGGAAGGAGGGAGAATGGGGCGTGGTGATGGAAAGCAGGAGATTGGGGCAGGGTGATGGAAAGCGTGAGAATGGGGCGGGGTGATAGAAAGCGGGAAAATGGGGCGGGGTGATGGAAAGTGGGAGAATGGGGCTGGGTGATGGAAAGCGGGAGAATGGGGCGGGGTGATGGAAAGCGGGAGAATGGGGCGGGGTGATGGAAAGCGGAAGAATGGGGTGGGGTGATGGAAGGAGGGAGAATGGGGCGGGGTGATGGAAAGCGGGAGATTGGGGCAGGGTGTTGGAAAGCGGGAGAATGGGGCGGGGTGATGGAAAGCGGAAAAATGGGGCGAGGTGATGGAGAGCGGGAGAATGGGGCTGGGTGATGGAAGCGGGAGAATGGGGCGGGGTGATGGAAAGCGGGAGAATGGGGCGGGGTGATGGAAGGAGGGAGAATGAGGCGGGGTGATGGAAGGAGGGAGAATGGGGCGGGGTGATGGAAAGCGGTAGAATGGGTCGGGGTGATGGAAAGCGGGAGAATGGGGCGGAGTGATGGAAAGCGGGAGAATGGGGCGGGGTGATGGAAAGCGGGAGAATGGGGCGGGGTGATGGAAAGCGGGAGAATGGGGCGGGGTGTTGGAAAGCGGGTCAATGGGGCGGGGTGATAAAAAGCGGGAGAATGGGGCGGGGTTATGGAAAGCGGGAGAATGGGGCGGGTGATGGAAAGCGGGAGAATGGGGCGGGTGATGGAAAGCGGGTGAATGGGGCGGGGTGATGGAAAGCGGGAGAATGGGGCGGGGTGATGGAAAGCGGAAGAATGGGGCGGGAAAGCGGGAGAATGGGGCGGATGATGGAAAGCGGGAGAATGGGGAGGGGTGATGGAAAGCGGGGGAATGGGACGGGATGATGGGAAGCGGAAGAATGGGGCGGGGTGATGGAAAGCTGGAGAATGGGGCGGGGTGATGGAAAGCGGGAGAATTGGGCGGGGAGATGGAAGGCGGGAGAATGGGGCGGGGTGATGGAAAGCGGGAGAATGGGGCAGGGTGATGGAAGGAGGGAGAATGGCGCGGGGTGATGGAAGGAGGGAGAATGGGGCGGGGTGATGGAAGGCGGGAGAATGGGGCGGGGTGATGGAAGGAGGGAGAATGGGGCGGGGTGATGGAAAGCGGGAGAATGGGGCGGGGTGATGGAAAGCGGGAGAATGGGGCTGGGTGATGGAAAGCGAGAGAATGCGGCGGGGTGATGGAAGGAGGGAGAATGGGGAGGGGTGATGGAAAGCGGGGGAATGGGGCGGGATGATGGGAAGCAGAAGAATGGGGCGGGGTGATGGAAAGCGGGAGAATGGGGCAGGGTGATGGAAAGCGGGAAAATGGGGCGGGGAGATGGAAAGCGGGAGAAAGGGGCGGGGTGATGGAAAGCGGGAGAATGGAGCGGGCTGATGGAAAGCGGGAGAATGGGGCGGGGTGATGGAAGGAGGGGGAATGGGGCGGGGTGATGGAAGGAGAGAGAAGGGGGTGGGCTGATGGAAAGTGGGAGAATGTGGCGGGGTGATGAAAAGCGGGAGAATGGGGTGGGGTTATGGAAAGCGGGAGAATGGGGCGGGGTGATGGAAACCGGGAGAATGGGGCGGGGTGATGGAAGGAGGGAGAATGGGGAGGGGTGATGGAAGGAGGGAGAATGGGGCGGAATGATGGAAAGCGGGAGAATGGGGCGGGGTGATGGAAGGTGGGAGAATGGGGCGGGATGATGGAAAGCGGGAGAATGGGGCGGGGTGATGGAGAGTGGGAGAATGGGGCGGGGTGATGGAAAGCGGGAGAATGGGGCGGGGTGATGGAAATCGGGAGAATGGGGGGGGGTGATGGAAAGCGGGAGAATGGGGCGGGGTGATGGAAGGAGGGAGAATGGGGCGGGGTGATAGAAAGCGGGAGAATGTGGCGGGGTGATGGAAAGTGGGAGAATGGGGTGGGGTTATGGGAAGCGGGAGAATGGGGCGGGGTGATGGAAAGCGGGAGAATGGGGCGGGGTGATGGAAGGAGAATGGGGCGGGCTGATGGAAGGAGGGAGAATGGGGCGGGGTGATGGAAAGCGGGAGAATGGGGCGGGGTGATGGAAGGAGGGAGAATGGGGCGGGGTGATGGAAAGCGGGAGAATGGGACGGGGTGATGGAAAGCGGGAGAATGGGGCGGGGTGATGGAAAGCGGGAGAATGGGGCGGGGTGATGGAAAGCGGGTGAATGGGGCGGGGTGATGGAAAGCGGAAGAATGGGGCGGAAAGCGGGAGAATGGGGCGGGTGATGGAAAGCGGGAGAATGGGGCGGGGTGATGGAAGGAGGGAGAATGGGGAGGGGTGATGGAAAGCGGGAGAATGGGGCAGGGTGATGGAAAGCGGGAGAATGGGGCGAGGTGATGGAAAGCGGGAGAATGGGGCAGGGTGATGGAAAGCGGGAGAATGGGGCGGGGTGATGGAAGGAGGGAGAATGGGGACGGGTGATAGAAAGCGGGAGAATGGGGCGGGTTGATGGGAAGCGTGAGAATGGGATGGGGTGAGGGAAAGCGGGAGAATGGGGCGGGGTGATGGAAAGCGGGAGAATGGGGCGGGGTGATGGAAAGCGCGGGGTGATGGAAAGCGGGAGAATGGGGTGGGGTGATGGAAAGCGGGAGAATGGGGTGGGGTGATGGAAAGCGGGAGAATGGGGCGGTGTGATGGAAAGCGGGAGAATGGGGATGGGTGATGGAAAGCGGGAGAATGGGGAGGGCTGATGGAAAGCGAGAAAATGGGGCGGGTGATGGAAGGAGGGAGAATGGGGCGGGGTGATGGAAGGAGGGAGAATGGGGCGGGGTGATGAAAGGAGGGAGAATGGGGCGGGGTGATGGAAAGTGGGAGAATGTGGCGGGGTGATGGAGAGCGGGAGAATGGGGCGGGGTGATGGAAAGCGGGAGAATGGGGCGGGGTGATGGAAAGCGGGAGAATGGGGCGGGGTGATGGAAGGAGGGAGAATGGGGCAGGGTGATGGAAAGCGGGAGATTGGGGCAGGGTGATGGAAAGCGGGAGAATGGGAAGGGGTGATGGAAAGCGGGAGAATGGGGCGGGGTGATAAAAAGCAGGAGAATGGGGCGGGGTGATGGAAAGCGGGAGAACGGGGCGGGGTGATGGAAAGCGGGAGAATGGGGCGGGGTGATGGAAAGCGGGAGAATGGGGCGGGGTGATGGAAGGAGGGAGATTGGGGCGGGGTGATGGAAGCAAGGAGAATGGGGCGAGGTGATGGAAATCGGGAGAATGGGGCAGGGTGATGGAAAACGGGAAAATGGGGCGGGGTGATGGAAAGCGGGAGAATGGGGCGGGGTGATTGAAGGAAGGAGAATGGGGCGGGGTGATGTAAGGAGGGAGAATGGGGCGAGGTCATGGAAAGAGGGAAAATGGGGCGGGGTAATGGAAAGCGGGAGAATGGGGCGGGGTGATGGAAAGCGGGAGAATGGGGCGGGGTGATGGAAAGCGGGAGAATGGGGCGGGGTGATGGAAAGCGGGAGAATAGGGCGGGGTGATGGAAAGCGGGAGAATGGGGCGGGGTGATGGAAGGAGGGAGAATGGGGCGGGGTGATGGAAAGCGGGAGAATGGGGCGGGGTGATGGAAAGCGGGAGAATGGAGCGGGGTGATGGAAAGCGGGAGAATGGGGCGGGGTGATGGAAAGTAAGAGAATGGGGCGGGGTGATAGAAAACAGGAAAATGGGGCGGGGTGATGGAAAGCGGGAGAATGGGGCGGGGTGATGGTAGGCAGGGGAATGGGGCGGGGTGATGGAAGGAGGGAGAATGGGGCGGGGTGATGGAAAGCGGGAGATTGGGGCGGGGTGATGGAAAGCGGGAGAATGGGGCGGGGTGATGAAAAGTAGGAGAATGGGGCGGGGTGATGGAAAGCGGGAGAATGGGGCGGGGTGATGGTAAGCTGGAGAATGGGGCGGGGTGATGGAAAGCGGGAGAATGGGGCGGGGTGATGGAAAGCGGGAGAATGGGGCGGGGTGATGGAAAGCGGGATAATGGGGTTGGGTGATCGAAAGTGGGAAAATGGGGCGGGGTTTTGGAAAGCGGGAGAATGGGGCGGGCTGATGGAAAGAGGGAGAATGTGGCGGGGCGATGGAAGGAGGGAGAATGGGGCGGGGTGATTGAAAGAGGGAGAATGGGGCGGGGCGATGGAAGGAGGGAGAATGGGGCGGGGTGATTGAAAGCGGGAAAATGTGGCGGGGTGATGGAAAGCGGGAGAATGGGGCGGGGTTATGGAAAGCGGGAAAATGGGGCGGGACGATGGAAAGCAGGAGAATGGGGCGGGGTGATGGAAGGAGGGAGAATGGGGTGGGGCGATGGAAAGCGGGAGAATGGGGCAGGGTGATGGAAAGCGGGAGAATGGGGCGGGGTGATGGAAAGCGGGACAATGGGGCGGGGTGAGGAAAGCGGGACAATGGGGCGGGGTGATGGAAAGCGGGAGAATGGGGCTGGGTGATGGAAAGCGGGAGAATGGGGCGGGGTGATGGAAGGAGGGAGAATTGAGCGGGGTGATGGAAGGTGGGAGGATGGGGTGGGGTCATGGAAAGCGGGAGAATGGGGCGGGGTGATGGAAAGCGGGAGAATGGGGCGGGGTCATGGAAAGTGGGAGAATGGGGCGGGGTGATGGAAAGAGGGAGAATGGGGCGGGGTGATGGAATGCAGGAGAATGGGGTCGGGTGATGGAAAGAGGGAGAATGGGGCGGGGTGATGGAAAGCGGGAGAATGGGGCGGGTTGATGGAAAGCGGGAGAATGAGGCGGGGTGATGGGAAGAGGGCGAATGGGCCGGGGTGATGGGAAGCGAGGGAATGGGGCGGGGTGAAGGAAAGCGGGAGAATAGGGCGGGGTGATGGAAAGCGGGAGAATTGGGCGGGGTGATGGAAAGCGGGAGAATGGGGCGGGGTGATGGAAATCGAAAGAATGGGGCGGGGTGATGGAAAGCGGGAGAATGGGGCGGGGTGATGGAAAGAGGGACAATGGGGCGGGGTGATGGAAAGAGGGAGAATGGGGCGGGGTGATGGAAAGAGGGAGAATGGGGGGGGTGATGGAAAGCTGGAGAATGGGGCAGGGTGATGGAAAGCAGGAGAATGGGCGGGTTGATGGGAAGCGGGAGAATGGGGCGGGGTAATGGAAAGCGGGAGAATGGGGCGAGGTGATGGAAAGCGGGAGAATGGGGGTGGGGTGATGGAAAGAGGGAGAATGGGGCAGGGTGATGGAAAGCGGGGGAATGGGGCGGGGTGATGGAAAGCGAGAGAATGGGGCGTGGTGATGGAAAACGGGAGAATGGGGCGGGGTGATGAAAAGCTGGAGAATGGGCGGGGTGATGGAAAGCGGGAGAATGGGGCGGGTGATGGAAGGCGGGAGAATGGGGCGGGGTGATGGAAAGCGGGAGAATGGGGCGGGGTCATGGAAAGCGGGAGAATGGGGCGGGGTCATGGAAAGTTGGAGAATGGGGCGGGCTGATGGAAAGCGGGAGAATGGGGCGGGATGATGGAAAGCGGGAGAATGGGGCGGGGTGATGGAAAGCAGGAGAATGGGGCGGGGTGATGGAAAGCGGGAGAATGGGGCGGGGTGATGGAAAGAGGGAGAATGGGGCGGGGTGATGGAAAGCGGGAGAATGGGGCGGGGTGATGGAAAGCGGGAGAATGGGGCGGGGTTATGGAAAGTGGGAGAATAGGGCGGGGTGATCGAAAGCGGGAGAATGGGGCGGGGTGATGGGAAGCGGGAGAATGGGGCGGGGTGATGGGAAGCGGGAGAATGGGGCAGGGTGAAGGAAAGAGGGAGAATGGGGCGGGGTGATGGAAAGCGGGAGAATGGGGCGGGATGATGGAAAGCGGGAGAATGGGGCGGGGTGATGGAAAGCAGGAGAATGGGGCGGGGTGATGGAAAGCGGGAGAATGGGGCGGGGTGATGGAAAGAGGGAGAATGGGGCGGGGTGATGGAAAGCGGGAGAATGGGGCGGGGTGATGGAAAGCGGGAGAATGGGGCGGGGTTATGGAAAGTGGGAGAATAGGGCGGGGTGATCGAAAGCGGGAGAATGGGGCGGGGTGATGGGAAGCGGGAGAATGGGGCGGGGTGATGGGAAGCGGGAGAATGGGGCAGGGTGATGGAAAGCGGGAGAATGGGGCGGGGTCATGGAAAGCGGGAGAATGGGGCGGGGTCATGGAAAGTTGGAGAATGGGGCGGGCTGATGGAAAGCGGGAGAATGGGGCGGGATGATGGAAAGCGGGAGAATGGGGCGGGGTGATGGAAAGCAGGAGAATGGGGCGGGGTGATGGAAAGCGGGAGAATGGGGCGGGGTGATGGAAAGAGGGAGAATGGGGCGGGGTGATGGAAAGCGGGAGAATGGGGCGGGGTGATGGAAAGCGGGAGAATGGGGCGGGGTTATGGAAAGTGGGAGAATAGGGCGGGGTGATCGAAAGCGGGAGAATGGGGCGGGGTGATGGGAAGCGGGAGAATGGGGCGGGGTGATGGGAAGCGGGAGAATGGGGCAGGGTGAAGGAAAGAGGGAGAATGGGGCGGGGTGATGGAAAGCGGGAGAATGGGGCGGGGTGATGGAAAGCGGGAGAATGAGGCGGGGTGATGGGAAGAGGGCGAATGGGGCGGGGTGATGGGAAGCGGGGGAATGGGGCGGGGTGAAGGAAAGCGGGAGAATAGGGCGGGGTGATGGAAAGCGGGAGAATTGGGCGGGGTGATCGAAAGTGGGAGAATGGGGCGGGGTGATGGAAATCGAAAGAATGGGGCGGGGTGATGGAAAGCGGGAGAATGGGGCGGGGTGATGGAAAGAGGGACAATGGGGCGGGGTGATGGAAAGAGGGAGAATGGGGCGGGGTGATGGAAAGAGGGAGAATGGGGCGGGGTGATGGAAAGCTGGAGAATGGGGCAGGGTGATGGAAAGCAGGAGAATGGGCGGGTTGATGGAAAGCGGGAGAATGGGGCGGGGTGATGGAAAGCGGGAGAATGGGGGCGGGGTGATGGAAAGAGGGAGAATGGGGCGGGGTGATCGAAAGCGGGGGAATGGGGCGGGGTGATGGAAAGCGAGAGAATGGGGCGGGGTGATGGAAAACGGGAGAACGGGGCGGGGTGATGAAAAGCGGGAGAATGGGCGGGGTGATGGAAAGCGGGAGAATGGGGCGGGGTGATGGAAGGCGGGAGAATGGGGCGGGGTGATGGAAAGCGGGAGAATGGGGCGGGGTGATGAAAAGCGGGAGAATGGGGCGGGGTCATGGAAAGTTGGAGAATGGGGCGGGGTGATGGAAAGCGGGAGAATGGGGCGGGATGATGGAAAGCGGGAGAATGGGGCGGGATGATGGAAAGCAGGAGAATGGGGCGGGGTGATGGAAAGTGGGAGAATGGGGCGGGGTGATGGAAAGAGGGAGAATGGGGCGGGGTGATGGAAAGCGGGAGAATGGGGCGGGGTGATGGAAAGCGGGAGAATGGGGCGGGGTTATGGAAAGTGGGAGAATGGGGCGGGGTTATCGAAAGCGGGAGAATAGGGCGGGGTGATGGGAAGAGGGAGAATGGGGCAGGGTGATGGGAAGCGGGAGAATGGGGCAGGGTGAAGGAAAGAGGGAGAATGGGGCGGGGTGATGGAAAGCGGGAGAATGGAGCGGGGTGATGGAAAGTGGGAGAATGGGGCGGGGTGATGGAAAGCGGGAGAATGGGGCGGGGTGATGGAAAGCGGGAGAATGGGGCGGGTGATGGAAAGCGGGAGAATGGGGCGGGGTGATGGAAAGCGGGAGAATGGGGCGGGGTGATGGAAAGCGGGAGAATGGGGCGGGGTGATGGAAAGCGGGAGAATGGGGCGGGGTGATGGAAAGAGGGAGAATGGGGCGGGGTGATGGAATGCAGGAGAATGGGGTGGGGTGATGGAAAGAGGGAGAATGGGGCGGGGTGATGGAAAGCGGGAAAATGGGGCGGGGTGATGGAAAGCGTGAGAATGAGGCGGGGTGATGGGAAGAGGGCGAATGGGCCGGGGTGATGGGAAGCGGGGGAATGGGGCGGGGTGAAGGAAAGCGGGAGAACAGGGCGGGTTGATGGAAAGCGGGAGAATTGGGCGGGGTGATCGAAAGCGGGAGAATGGGGCGGGGTGATGGGAAGAGGGAGAATGGGGCGGGGTGATGGGAAGCGGGAGAATGGGGCGGGGTGAAGGAAAGAGGGAGAATGGGGCGGGGTGATAGAAAGCGGGAGAATGGGGCGAGGTGATGGAAAGCGGAAGAATGGAGCGGGGTGATAGAAAGCGGGAGAATGGGGCGGGTGATGGAAAGCGGGAGAATGGGGCGGGGTGATGGAAAGCGGGAGAATGGGGCGGGGTGATGGAAAGAGGGAGAATAAGGCGGGGTGATGGAAAGAGGGAGAATGGGGCGGGGTGATGGAAAGCGAGAGAATGGGCCGGGATGATGGAAAGAGGGAGAATGGGGCGGGGTGATGGAAAGCGGGATAATGGGGCGGGGTGATGGAAAGCGGGAGAATGGGGCAGGGTGATGGAAAGAGGTAGAATGGGGCGGGGTGATGGAAAGCAGGAGAATGGGGTGGGGTGATGGGGGAGAATGGGGCGCGGTGATGGAAAGCGGGAGAATGGGGC